CCGGGAGTGGCCACTGCACTCTAGTCTGAGTGACAGAGTGAGACTCCAACTCAAAAAAAAAGTAAGCTGGGCATGGTGGCGCCTGTAATCCCAGCTACTCAGGAGGCTGAGGATTGCCTGAGGCCAGGAGGCCAAGGCTGCAGTGAGCTGTGATGTGCCAGTGCACTCCAGCCTGGGTGACAGAGTGAGATCCCGTCTCTAAAAAACAAAAAACTAAAATCAAGAACTAGAACCCAACTGTATGGCTTTGATGAGGTTACGCATGACACGCCAGACCCCAGTAAACGCCAGCTGTCACATGTTGAGACCACGGGCCTGGCCTCACCCCTGTGTAGTGCTATCTCAGTTGGCAAAGGCCTGGTCTGAGAATAAAATGTAGTAGATGGAGAAACTTAATTTTTCTGTACTTTTTGGCTCAAGAATGCAAAGAATTCACCCCCTTTTCTTCTGAAACAGATTGCCCAGTTCACCAGCTGCAACAGGTATTTGCAAGAAGCTTGCCTGAGTGCACATACTGACCACGGGCTGTCCAACCTGGGTGAGACCCTGACTTGAAAAAAACATTTTTTAATAAAAAGTTTAACAGAAGCCACACGTGGTGGTTCACGCCTATCATCCCAGCACTTTGGGAAGCCAAGGCGACAGGATTGCCTGAGCCCGCAGGTTCGAGACCAGCCTGGGCAACATGGCTAGACCTCGTTTCTACAATAAATTTAAAAATTAGCATGGTGGTGCACACCTGAAGTTCCAGGTGCTTGGAAAGCTGAGGTAAAGGGATCACCTGAGCCCAGCAGGTCGAGGCTGCAGTGGCCGTGAGCGTGCCATTGCACTCCAGCCTGGGTGAAGAATGAGACTTCAACTCAAATAAATAAATAAATAAATAAAAAGTTTAAAAGAAAACACCCATTTACAAGCACTCAAGTAAATATCTTCAAAAAGTCTTAGCACAAGATGGGCACGGTGGCTCACACCTATCATCCCAGAACTTTGGGAAGCCAAGGCGACAGGATTACCTGAGCCCATAGGTTCAAGACCAGCCTGGGCAACATGGTGGGTCCTAGTCTCTACAGCAAATCAAAAAAGCAGCCAGGTGTGGTGGCAAGTACCTGTAGTTCTAGCTACTTGGAAGCCTAAGGCAGAAGGGTCACGTTAGACTAGCAGACTGAGGCTGCAATGGCTGTGAGCGTGCCTCTACTCCAGCCTGGGCAACAGAGTGAGACTCCAACTCAAAAAAAAAAAGTGTGTAAATATGTGCAATAAATAAAATACCTCATATGAAAGTGTGTACCCTGGCTCAGCACCTGTAAGACGTTGAAAAACACTGCATTTCTCACCGCTCTGATGAATACGGTAGTTAGAGACAGCACTTGAACTCAGAGTACAGGGAAACAAAGCCGCCTCTAAATCAAAAGATAAATCAACAAAACCTGCAGTGGTGGGCCCCCTCCACCTCTCACGCTGAAACTCCAGTCACCTGCTCTATCCGCAGACACAGCGCTGGGTAACCTGAATCTTTTTCATGTTATTGGGGTTCCCAGAATGACATTCCCAGCCAGAATCTTCTGAAAGCAAAGGCACCCTTTATAGAGACCAAGAGGTCCGAGGTAGGGGAAGGGCGGAGTCATGGCTGTTTTAAGTTATAAAGTTATAAAGTACTCACACACGGAATGATATCAGGAGTATCAGATAGGGAAAACGGAGCCCTTTCTGCTCGCAATTAACATAGATTAAACGTGGGTGGTGGCCAGGCTCAGTGGTGCAGCCTGTAATCCCAGCATTTTGGGAGGCCAAAGGCCAAGGCAAGCGGATTACCTGAGCCCACGGGTTCGAGAACAGCCCCAGGCAACTTGGCAAGAACTGTCTCTACAATAAATCAAAAAATTAGCTGGGCGTGGTAGCACACAACTGTAGTTCCGGCTACTTGGAAGGCTGAGGCAGAAGGAAGGATCACCTGAGCCCAGCAGGTCAACGCTGGGGTGACTGTAAGCGTGCATGCCACTGCCCTCCAGCCTGGGCAACAGAGTAAGACTCCAACTCAAAAAAAAAAAAAAATAACGCAGGTGGCACTCCACCACTGTCATGATCCTGAATGGGACTGGATGCATGTTCTACAGTCCTGAAACAGCATCTGCTCCATGAGTCCCTGAGCTGTGTGATCACTCATGGATCTTAGCCTCTAAGACCCCACCTGCATTTGGGACGTTTGGCTTAACTCGTTCCTTTCTCTCACAGCCGAAACACAACAGCAAGAAACACCTGGCCCCGGTCGCCTCCTTTGTTGGCAAGTGATCGCCGGGGGGATTGTTGGCAAGTGACCGACGGGGAAGGTTTTCAGCCCAGCTTCGGCCTGAAAGTGTCGCTGCAACCTTCCTCTGCTGGTTCCCTGGGATGGCCCCCTCCCGCCTTGCAAGACTGCTGGGTCCTGCACGTCAAAGGACAGTACCTGGCAGCACATCTAGTGTCACGCTTTCATGGTGAGAAAAGTGGCGCCTCTGCTGTCAGCGTCCGACTGAAACGCCCTGCCTGCACCGCCTTCTTCATGACCCTGTGCGTGACAAAAGCCACTTAGTGCTACAAAGCCTGCTACACACTCGTGAATCCCAGAATACCCCAGAAGTCCCTTCGAAACAGCAGGACTCACGCCACCAGCAGTCACCCGAGAAACGCAAATGCTCTAAGGTGTGTGGTGACCAACTGCAACAAGAGAGCCGAGACTGCTTTGGAATGAAAGATGACACTGTCAGTCTTTTCCTGTAAGGGTGATGCTGCGAGTACGTACATAGGCTACGCCTAAGAAACCAGACGTGTTCACGCCATCCTGATGGGTTTTAAGCGCAAAATCTCACTAAAGTTCCAAAGCAGCGAAACACCCAGCTCATTCCCGTGTCCTTCAAAGCGATCTTTAAGATGACAGGTGGCAGTGAAGCCCTGGTCTCCACAAGTCATGCATGACACGGTCACGTTTTTACCAGCTTCATTTCACCAAGTGCATTTTTACCTGGCGGGACACCGGTTCCATTTTGTAGAGTCCTGTCCCTCGACTTGGGTTTCACCCAAGGGTGTGGACTACAAGTGTGTGGCTGCAGGTTGTGTCCCGAGGGGACACTGGTGCCTCCCCCGCCGACCCTACCCTGATTCCTGTGTGACAGGGAAGTGGCTGTGCTGCCACAATTCCGATGACTTCAAGTCGTTTCTGATCTTTCTCATCTCCTGTAATAGCATCTGCGCTATTTGAGAAAAGAGTCGGGAAAAGCCAATGCACGTCATCAATCCTCCCTTTAACCAGGTAAAATGAGGCACAGATCAAAATACAGGCCAGAGAAAGCCAGTCTCTTCCCCGCAACGGCTTGGAACAGAAACCCCAGAACAGGGCCGAGTGTGAAAGCCCTCCTCATCTCCACACCCGGAACAATCCAGATAAACCTCAGAGCAGGATGGAGCGTGAAGACCCTCCTCATCTCCACACTGGGCAACCCAGATGAACCCCAAAGAGGGCCGAGTGTGAAAGCCCTCCTCATCTCCCCAAGAGCAGAACAAAAAACACACGAGGGGCAATTTCAGGAAAGCTGAGAAACGTCCAGACCCTGCTAAAAAGGAACCGCAGCTCAAAAGGCCCTTTCGCAAGCCGCTCGACGCTCAGGACCAAGGTCTGCACCTGGGAACACGGTTGCCCAGCACCCAGCCTCCAGCCTCCGCTGGCCACCATGGGTGGCTGCACCCACCTGATCGCATCCCGCGTGCACCAGCTCCTGGAGCATCTGCCGGTTCACCTCCGTGGCCGCCGGGGGGCCTGACTCGTTAGCAAAAGGCAGCAGCGAATACCTGATCTCCCTCAGGGCCTTCTGGTAGGGGCCGAACTTCGGGGTGGCCCTCAGCTGCTGCTGCCGGGTCACGTCCTTGCTGCCCAGGACCTTGGCATCCAGGGAGGCGTCACCACCGGGTCCCCCAGGCGCCCCCTGCGCCGAGGGCTTGGCCGGCTGCTTCAGGCCCTCGCGAATCTCCTGCAGGCGCTGGCGGCTGTTTCCAGAATATGTCGTGGCAGGAAAAGTCTTTGGCCTCATGGTCAGCCCCGTTTCCTTCAACCATAAATACAATCTTCTCGAAGGGTTTTATCGTTCAGGGGGAATAAGAAACACTGTCAACAGTATCAGTTTGCTGTAAACGTACTTTCAAAACAGCTTCCTTTCAAAAACAATTTCTCCTTCCATTTTTGTCGTTCCTGCGGAGAACCCAGAACATTCCAGAGGCTTCATCCTGGACATCATCGCTCTCTGAAAAAGACAAAAGGAGGGACATGTTCACTTGTGGGTTTCACATGGCATTGATGCTGGCTTTCTTTCTTTCTTTTTTTTTTGAGTTGGAGTCTCACTCTGTCGCCCAGACTGGAATGCAGCGGTCGCTCCCGGCCACCGCAGCCTCGACCTGCTGGGCTCCGGCGATCCTTCCGCCTCAGCCTTCCGAGTAGCCCAAATTACAGGCGCGCGCTACCACGCCCGGACAGGCGTAGTGATTTTTTGATTTTATTGTAGAGATGAGGTCTCGCCTGCCCAGGCGGGTCTCGAACCCGCGGGCTCAGGCAATCCACTCATCTCAGCCTCCCAAAGGCGCAGGATTATAGGCTGAGCCACCGAGCCCGGCTGATGCTGCTTTTCTAAAATGAACAGGGAACCTGGAAACAGCCCACTCAGAAAGAAGAGAAGAACACATCACCTCTCAGAAGGGACACAGATGCTGCTCGAGCCTGGCAAGGGCATATGACAGCCAGGGCTGGCCCAGGACGCTCCCTGTGATGCATGATCCATGGTCCAGCCGCTCTTTTTTTTTTTTTGAGGCAGAGTCTCACTCTGTCGCCCAGGCTGGAGAGCAGTGGCACACTCACGGCCATCACAGCCTCGACCTACTGGGCTCAGGTGATCCTTCCGCCTCAGTCTTCCGAGTAGCTGGAACCACAGGTATGTGCCCACATGCCCAAGTTGCCCAGGCTGGTCTCGAACCCCTGGACTCAGGCAATCCTCTCACTTTGAATTCCCAAAGAGCTAGAATGACAGGCATGTACCACCACACCCAGTGGCCGAGCCACTCTCTATGTACACACAGCTCAGAGAGGGCGTCACAATGTTAGCCATCGGAGGCTCGTTTAAAGCACTCGGAGACAGGCTCAGTGGCTCAGCCTGTAATCCTGCGCCTTGGGAGGCTGAGGTGAGTGAATTGCCGAGCCTGAGGGTTCGAGACCCGCCTGGGCAACTTGGTGAGACCTCATCTCTACAATAA